ATCTAAAGTTTAATTTTATAGCTAATTTAATTATTTAATTTATTTTAATAATATAAAATTAAAGAAAAATGATGGAGGATATATAAACTGTTATCAAAAATTTATTATTAGAATCATTAAGTGTCATATATATATTAGTCATTTATGGTAATTCCGTAGGTTTTATTTATGGAAAGAAAATAAAATAGTAATTATATTTAGGGGAACAATCATAAATTCTTCTATCATAAATATCATATCATATCATCATATCATATAATTTGACCAACGAATGTATCTAGCGACATATAAAAATCGAATGTGGACCTACTTATTTTTCAATTGAATGTAATTGACTACCTAATTGAGTGACACCTAAGCATGGGGTCTTTTTTAATTATTAAAAAATTGAGGTTATAATTTTTTAAATGTTTCTCCTTTAATATATAAGAGATTAAAAGAGAAGTACCCATATAAAATACCCCTTAATTTTCACTTTTATTTACAATATCATGCCACTGAAGTAATTAAATGAACTTATATGTAAGTAATTATTGTCTTTTCCTATTTATTAAACAATTTCCTAAATCAATTTTAGCTTAATTTTCGTGTTTAATATATTCCCTAAAATAAACTAGCTGATTTTTAGGAATATTTATATTTAAAATTGATTTTAAAAATATTAAATTTGTATAACGTTACCATTAATTATTTTGAACAAAATTCAAGTTTAAATTCGAAACTAAAAAAATATTATGAATATTCTTTAAAATATATGTTTAACTTAGCATTAATTATTTTCAACAATAAGATTTTAAAATATTTAAACTACTTATAAACAATGTGAACTATTTGTAACTGAATATTATTTTAATATAATTTAATCTCACCTAAGATTATATATTTTTCAAGAATTTCTAAAATATATGTTTTACCATTTTGGTTGCTATTAATTATTTTCAACAAGAAAAATTAATACTGAAATTGAAATATTAAATTACTTGTAAAACAATGTTTAATGTTTATAACCAAATATTCTTTTTTATAACGTATTTAAATTTTACCATATTATCCATATCTGATCAAATTATTTAAAATCTTTTTACATTTGGCAAACAATTTCATGTTACAAGAAATATTATTCAAACTATCAATAGGTCAATATTAATTTTTCAAAAGTTTAATAATGGACACGAATCACTATTTTTACAGCACATAAACGATTCGATTGATGTGTTTATAAAAATTTAGAAATATGATAAATATATAAAAATATTAATGAATAGATATTTAAATGATATTCATTTATATAAAAAATGAAATAAATACCCGTCCGGTCGGACGGATCCAGCTCTAGTTTTTTTTTTTTTTTTTTTGAACTTGGCTTTGGGTCCAGCTCTAGTTCTGATTAAAGGAAAAGGTTAACCACAACAAACCTGTCCATCCTTTACCGTAAGTGGCATAGCTTGGTTTGAACCAGTACGCACTGGGGTGGAACTACTTGAGGACTTGAGAACTTGCCAATGTAACATGTATACAAATTTTTTTATTCGCACGCCGTTGTTGCTTACGTAATCGATTTACTACAATTATAGAACTCTTATACGCACGCCTAGTTGCTTATACATGATCGATTTGAATCAAAGAATCAGACATTTCATCTTTTTTTTTTTTTATCTAAATGTTAAGATTTATACCATTTTTTAGAGTTTACATGTTAAAAACAACTTATTACAAAGAAAGGGACAAGGAGCAAAAGAGCAGAAGTGGAAGAGTCAGAGAACAAGAGAGCAAGAGAGACATAGCAATATTAACTATAAGGTGAAAGAAATCAAAAGTATAGCTCAAGCAGAGAAGGCGACGCAGCGGTCCTAGCAGGTTGAGACAGAGACAAAAGTCTATCTCTCATGGTCCGGTCCACCACACGGAAGAACGCCTCTTGAGTCAAGAAAATATGTGTGAAATGTAAGCTCAAGAATCTGAAGCTTGAGAGATTCCTACAGTGTTGGAGCTTTGGTTCGCGTACTTGTGTTACACACATATAATGGCATGTGACACACGTTTCAGAGAATAAAAAGAAATCATCAAGATGCGGTGATATGGAATATTCTCATATATTTGGCTGACGAATTATGTATTAAAAAGGATTAATAGGCTTAATGAGCTAGGGTTTTGCTTATTCAAATATAAAGAGAACAACGCATGATAGGAAGCGGCTACGCGTCTAAGACTTATTGAAGATGCTCATGGATGTGTGTGACGTCGTCCTACCAGACAGATGGAGAGATCTGTTGGCAATTTTTTTATGGAGAACTATACTTGTCAGAGTAGTAGTTCTTTTTCATTGTAATTCTAGATTAGAATGGTAGGCACGAGTGTGTGCTAGATACCAAGCAACGTTGTTTGTGTTCTATTCTAGTGAATGAGTTCTGGACTGGCATAGTATGAAGATTAAATATGTTTGAGATGTTAGGTGTTCTCATTTATCTAGAAAATAGAGATTTTATAGGAGTAAAATAATAGGAGGGGTTAGTACTTTAATACGGTCGTATATGAAGTTTAAAAAAATTATTCCTTGAAAAATTAGAAATGATATCCTTGTACCCTGA